TTTTTTTAATGTTTACTTATTTTTGAGAGAGAGACAGAGAGAGAGCAAGCGAGCACGAGTGAACAGGGGAGGGGCAGAGAGAGGGAGACACAGAATCCAAAGCAGACTCCAGGCTTTGAGCTGTCAGCACAGAGCCCGATGCGGGGCTTGAACTTGCGAACTGTGAGATCATGACCTAAGCCAAAGTAGGATGCTTACCTGACTCGGCCACCCAGGCGCTCCCCCCAAACATACATTTTTTTTTTCAACGTTTATTTATTTTTGGGACAGAGAGAGACAGAGCATGAACGGGGGAGGGGCAGAGAGAGAGGGAGACACAGAATGTGAAACAGGCTCCAGGCTCTGAGCCATCAGCCCAGAGCCTGATGCGGGGCTCGAACTCACGGACCGCGAGATCGTGACCTGACTGAAGTCGGACCCTTAACCGACTGCGCCACCCAGGCGCCCCCAAACATACATTTTTTAAAAGGTGCATCTCCTGTCCCCATAGCTGATTCCCAGCATGCAGAGCCTTGTCCTAACGGGTGCAGACACGGGGCTCCTGCTGACAGCGACCAGGCGGGGGCTACCCCAAGTGGCCTCTTCCGCTCCCTTCCGTCCCTCCACACCCGCTGCACCGGGCACGTGGGCTGCCTCCCTCCCCGTGTCCTCCGCACAGTCACCCGGCCCCAGTACCTTGTACCAGGTAGTCAGTGGTGTCCCGCTCCACCTCCGGGCTGAGCTGCCGGGTTTTCTGAAGATACTTGAGGACAAAGATGTTGGGCGCAAAGTGGATCATGTTTTGCTCTCCACAGCCGAAGGGCAGCCGCAGGAGGCTGCTGAGGTGGTTCAGGGTCGGCCCCATGACGTCTCCTGGTGGGAAGGAAAACAGGGCTGGGCTGCAGGCTGGCCTCAACTGGTGCCCTGGTTGTACTCAGGACGGCTTTCCCCGGGGCGGCCTGTGGCCTCACACCAGCTCCCCACCCTCTGACGGCCGGCGCTGCCTTTGGGACTGGACCATGCCCTGTGCTCACGTGGCCCACCGGGTGCCCTGGCTTTGGCCGCCACCTGCTGGAACTCTCCCACACGCCTCCCTCTCTGCTCTCCAGTCTCAACTCGGTGTTCTCTCTCTCTCCCTTTTCATTATGCTGAATGCTCGTTTCTTTTTGGCTTTTAAAACGGGTACATTTAAAGCTATACGTTTTCCTCTAAGTACGACTTTGGTTGCATCCCACACGTTGACGGGTCAATCCAGTCACTGTGGTTCCATTTTAAATATTTTTTTTTCTAACTTCCAATAGGAAACGTGATTTTCTCTTCAACCACAAGTATTTAGATCTTTAAAAAAAGTTTCTGTACACACACGATATTGTTGGTATACTTTTAAGTTCTTTTTTTTTTTTTCTTTTTGATTTCTCCT